GGGGGAGGGGCTTTTGGAGGGTCCAAGAGGGTGGAGAAGATGGAGAATAGTTTTTTAGGATTGGAATAGGAAGGGAGGAGGGGACTGACGAGCCTGCCGAGATGTGAGAGGACAGAGAGAGTCCAGAGAGGATGAGAGAGTAGAGAGGAGAGTTTCTGCAGCAGAGTTTGAAGGCAGGAGTTGGAACGAGTCAGAGGAAGGGAGGGCTGAGAGAACCGATGAGGCAAGGGGAGAGGGGGAGAGGGAACGAAGGTTACGGCGGACAAGTGCAGGATGAGAAGGGATTAGTTTGTTATGTTTGGAAAGGGATAGAGAGAATGAAATTAAGAAGTGATCGGATGTGTGGAGCGGGTTTACAGAGAGGTTAGAAGTAGCGCAGTTCCTTGAGAATATGAGATCAAGGACATTGCCAGCTTTATGAGTCGGTGGGGATGGAGACAGTGAGAAAGCAAAGGCGGTTAACAGGGATTTTAGTTCGTCTATCTTCCCTGTCTGGAGGTTGAAGTCTCCGAGAAGTACAGCGGGAGGGCCAGTTTCAGGGATGTGTGAGAGGAGATTATCTAATTCCTCCAAGAAGTCCCCCAAGGCGCCTGGTGGACGGTAGAGAACAACAATGGTTAACTGTATAGGATGGGTTACTGTGACGGCATGGAACTCAAAGGTGGAAGGAGTGAAGTTAGGTAGCTTGAAGAGGGAAAAGCTCCATTTGGGAGAGAGCAGGAGACCAGTGCCACCTCCTCTGCCAGTTGGTCTGGGTGTATGGGAGAAGGAATATGCAGTGGAGAGAGCTGCTGGGGTGGATGTGTTGGATGGAGTAATCCAGGTCTCAGTGAGAGCAAGGAAATCCAGAGACTGCAGGGAGGCATAGCCAGAGATGAAGTCAGCCTTAGGAACAGCTGACTGGCAATTCCACAGGCCACCTGAAATTAGATGTTGGATCTCAGTGGAGCATGTGGGATAGATGAGAGCAGGCCGGTTATATCGATTAGGAGATACACGGGGCCAGTGATAATTGCGAGAAGACACATGAACAGGAATGGAGAAAATACACATGATTATAGCATGAGGGGCTAGAAAACGAAAGAAAAGAGAAATAAGACACCAGCTCAATCAGAGTAGGATTTGCCTCCTCTTTGCCTCCCTCGTGACTCCCGTAGGACTCCAATGTCTTTGTCAGTCTTACTCCCGTAGGACTCCAATGTCTTTGTCAGTCTTACTCCCGCAGGACTCTAATGTCTTTGTCAGTCTTCGGCTGTCTGACGCTTAAGCTGACGCTCCAGGAACGAGCTACCTAAAATGGACGCCTGATTGCTGAGTTCTCACAGCTGTAGGGCCACGCCCCTCTAATTAGTTAACTATCTACAGCTGATGGGTGACAATAGACTGGCCCTGCCTCTATTGTAATGCAGGCTTGAGTGCTGAGACCTGTGCAGCAGGTTTGGCCTGAGCAGATCTGAGATTTAAAATCTCTCAAAAGCGCCGTATTAGCTACAATAACTACAGAACAATTATACAGAGTAGAATAAATGAAACAGAGAAGCCTAATTAAACAAGAATATAACTTACAGTGGTTGCTGCATCAATAGGTAAAATCTTCACCCGGTCCAGATGCACACTGAGTTCATCAGATTTTAAATGCGGTATTTAAATGCTTTTTTAGGTCAAAGATGACTGAGTCACGCTGTTGTACTTCACGCAATCAATAGACTGGCCCTGCCTCTATTGTAATGCAGGCTTGAGTGCTGAGACCTGTGCAGCAGGTTTGGCCTGAGCAGATCTGAGATTTAAAATTTCTCAAAAGCGCCGTATTAGCTACAATAACTACAGAACAATTATACAGAGTAGAATAAATGAAACAGAGAAGTCTAATTAAACAAGAATATAACTTACAGTGGTTGCTGCGTCAATAGGTAAAATCTTCACCCGGTCCAGATGCACACAAATACAAAATGGATTCACAAATGCCTGATCGAAAGTTGTAAATGTTAAAGAGATATTAACAGATCTTTTTTTTATTTGTGAAAATATTTAGCGTATTTGCAGATCCGTTTTACACTTGCAAATTTATTTGTGAGTTTGCGAATCTTTTAAATGCATTTGTGGATGGTGTTTTACATATCACATATTTACACACAAACAATTATGAGACATATTTATGCCCATACTGTACCATACTTGCCAACCTTGAGACCTCAGAAATCGGGAGCATTTCAAAACCACCGCGGGGGGGGGGGGGGGTGCTGCTAGTGGAGCTGCTTAACATGCTTATTGTAGTTGTAAGTGCACTGTCTTGATGGAGCATATGTGGAAAGGAGTGATTAGGGGGGAGTTTTGTCGATTATTGTTCTGTTTTCTGTGACTTATCTTCCTCACCCTCTCAGACTTTCAGTTGCGCGCGCTACTAAAGAGACGCGCTACCATGGAAACCAAACAATGGTGTAGCTGTATTAAAGTCAGAGTGGAAACAGTCGTGAGTAAATCCAATTTTGTCAGAAATCGGGAGAAATGCGGGAGAAATATGACCCCGGGAGGAAACTGGGAGAGGGCAATGAAATCGGGAGTCTCCCGCAAAAATCGGGAGGGTTGGCAAGTATGACCTGTGCCTGTATACCTGTACCTGTGCCTGTATACCAGTGCCTGTATACCTATGCCTGTACCTATGCCTGTACCTGTACCTGTACCTGTGCCTGTGCCTGTGCCTGTATACCTGTGCCTGTGCCTGTACCTGTGCCTGTACCTGTGCCTGTATACCTGTACCTGTGCCTGTATACCTGTACCTGTGCCTGTGACTGTACACCTGTACCTGTGCCTGTACCTGTACCTGTGCCTGTACCTGTGCCTGTGCCTGTACCTGTGCCAGTATACCTGTACCTGTGCCTGTATACCTGTGCCTGTGCCTGTATACCTGTGCCTGTACCTGTACCTGTACCTGTGCCTGTATACCTGTACCTGTACTTGTACCTGTGCCTGTATACCTGTGCCTGTGCCTGTATACCTGTGCCTGTACTTGTGCCTGTATACCTGTGCCTGTATACCTGTTGTAAGGGAAACTTCTGTAGCAATGGAGAGTCAGGACTCAGAGAGACACAGGACGAGCAGGAGTTCTGATGTCAAACACTGGCAGTTTAATACAAGCATCGGCCGGAGAATTTATATCACAAGTCACACAGTCAAAGATTCTGACTGCACGGGTGGGTTGCCATGTCAATTCTGATCCCCTCTCATCTTGGCAGACCTTTTAACTAGCTTCACTAAGAGTCAACCCACATATTGGGGGAAGGTGTACGTGACCACCTGGAGGCACTGAATCACTTATTTGACTCTATGGCTCTGTGACCGAGAGTTGACCGGTCATAAAACTGGTAATGTCAGCAATAGCTTGAGGCTTCCCATTCCTTAAGACAGATAACAGACTTAGAGTTCGGTCGTAAAACGTCAACAGGCCGAAAGGTCAAATATCTTAAGTAAAGACTAAATTAATCCCGAACACCTGTACCTGTGCCTGTATATGTGCCTGTGCCTGTATACCTGTACTTGTGCATGTACCTGTGCCTGTATACCTGTACCTGTATACATGTGCCTGTACCTGTGCCTGTACCATATGCCTGTGCCTGTGCCTGTACCATGTGCCTGTGCCTGTACCTGTGCCTGTATACCTGCACCTGTGCCTGTACATGTACCTGTGGCTGTACCTGTGCCTGTACTTTTTCATGTGGCAGATGAACATACAAAATACTCAGAAAAATATATAATACACACAAATCATAAATAATGCAATCAGCGTTTATCAGTTTCTTTTTGCCGGTATTTGCTTCCATACATTATTTTATACAAGTGTTGTTGGAAATGGTGGTTTAAGGGTCAATTACTGGCTTTAGTGTAAAAGTTAGGCTACTGTTGTGTTAGGGTGGTGGTGAAGTGTGTAGTTGTGATGCTTACACTCAAAAAGCTGGGGAATACATCATGCCAACAATTTGAGGACCTGTGTTGGTAGGAAGTGGGTATTAAAGTACACAAATATGTGTGTGTTTTTTTGTTGATGTCATTGGGGTCAACATGTGACATTGTTGGATCAATCCCTGCTGACGTGCTCAGATCAGCACAAATCGCTAACTCCACACACACACACACACACACACACACACACACACACACACACACACACACACACACACACACACACACTGTTGGGGAATTATTTCCCAAGGCCCATAACTTTGACCCAGTGTATCAGTTCATACTGTCCTGACTGAGCACACGCACCTGGAACCTTGGCTGCTGTGCTCTCAGTGTTCTGTCTCCCTGTTCCTGCCTGTTGCCGTCAGCTGATAGAGGTGTTATGCTTCTATCTTGTTATGCACAATGTTGATTATTCTCTCTGAACTAGCTAAACACATGGGTCTGGGGTAGAGATATTCAGAATTGATTGTGGCATCTCAACCGTGTGGTCAAACCGTGGCCCGTGACAAGTCTTGTGAATTCTCCGGCCGAAGCTCCAAATAAACCATCATTGTTTGCCATCAAAGCTCCAGCTCTCCTCGTGTCTCTCTGAGTCCTGACTCCAATTGCTTCAGAAGTTTCCTCCACACATACAAATGTAGAAAGCAACAGAAACCGACTCACCCCTCCTCCCTCTTTCCATAGCCCATTAGAAGTATTGACAATTCCACATGTTGTTTTTCCCCCCTCTAATAGGTTTATACTCAGCTGATCGGGCAGCGGTGATAATGATGCTGCTGTTCTCTGTAACACAGTGTTCAGAACAAGCTCTGCAATCCATGGAAATATGGACTGCTGCTCCGGTTGTTCTTTCCAGCATCGATTATTTTGCCATCTCAGCAGCAGCTCTCTGCTCTCCGCTCTCTTCTGCCTGAGTTCTCTGAGGCTGACAGTGAATCTGACGCTCTGTGGCTCACCTGCTTGTTCCGGTATCAGCATCTCAGGCTGCTGGGGGTCCAGGTCACTCAAGGTCTAATCCATCACTGGGAAGTAGGGGAAGGATGAGGCCCTGGGTCCGCTCCAACAGGTCCCGATCGGTCCAGGTAAGATTATCATTTGGGATTTAGTCATGAAAAATATACAAGTCACAAATATACTAACTTGAAAGGGCTCTTCTCTCTCCATCTGTTATGAAAGTGAGAGGGAGGGTGAGCCATGTGGAAATTAGCAAAAGTAAACAGGGACAGAAAGATATATTAGACTGTCCTCTGCATATAATTTGTTTTACTCTGTTTCATAAATACACATTGTCTCCAAGATGTGGCCATCTGTGCATGTACAATTTTATGTATTACAATAAGCAAAAATAAATCTAATATATGGGCTTGGCGGAATTGAAAACCCCCACTCTGATTTTTTAAATTGCTAATAAATCAACATGAAGCGAGAGTGCATGTTTTGTCATTTGTGCTATTGGTAAATGTAGAGGATGTTACTGTCAAATGCACTGTACATTTAATAGTAATACAATTATATTTTCTGGGATTGGGTGCAATACATAGGTCTTTCAATAAGGTGATAGGGAGCTTTTTAAAAGTATGTAACCCCATTTCAGTTCAAGAGATCCTTTCGTTCAAGGACACTTACGCAGAGACATGACTTGATTACATGTGGCGTTCATTCCTCATCAATTCCACACATGGGCCATTTCAATAACTAAGTCACCTTGTCCTTCAGGAGTGCTGCTTTTATTGTGCCCCAAATTGATATCACCTCAGTCCTATCTTTTTTTAAATGTGTTATTCGCAACAAATGGAATCAAGAGCTGTACTGTCAATGTTCCCAACTGTGGGGAATTGACAAATAGATGAATCTGCGGAGAGTGCCGAAGGGGGAAAACAAAGTGCACTGTCGATGTAGATTTCACAGCTGTATTTATAATATGAAGCTCTTGAAAAGTTACACATTTAGTTTAGTGTAACAGTATATTTATATATTTTTCACCATATTGAATTAAAGAGCAATCTGAAACAATGCCAATTGTAAATAAACTGAGAGAAAAATACATACATAAATGTGAAATTGCAGGAGGGTATATTGCAGTTATATAATAATAATAATAATAATAATAGTAATAACACATGTCATTTATATAGTGCTTTTCCTGGTGCTCAAAGCACTTACAAGTATACACTTGCATGTATATTACACACACAAGACACATTTCTCACATTTGGAGGAGCCCTGAAAAGAAACAGACTTCTTTTGAACCATAATGATGTATTTGAATCAGAATGAGGTAAATCGCCATATCGGTTTTCACATTCAAGGAATGTTCCTTGGTATTTTGATGCAAAACAATAAATATAGTAAGAGAAATTATCATAGATGGGGAACATTAAAACATACAGTGGGGCAAACAAGTATTTAGTCAGCCACCAATTGTGCAAGTTCTCCCACTTAAAAAGATGAGAGAGGCCTGTCATTTTCATCCTAGGTACACTTCAACTATGAGAGACAGAATGGGGGGAAAGAATCCAGGAGCTCATATTGTAGGATTTTTAATGAATTAATTGGTAAATTCCTCGGTAAAATAAGTATTTGGTCACCTACAAACAAACAAGATTTCTGGCTCTCACAGACCTGTAACTTCTTCTTTAAGAGCCTCCTCTGTCCTCCACTCGTTAACTGTATTAATGGCACCTGTTTGAACTCGTTATCAGTATAAAATACACCTGTCCACAACCTCAAACAGTCACACTCCAAACTCCACTATGGCCAAGACCAAAGAGCTGTCAAAGGACACCAGAAACAAAATTGTAGACCTGCACCAGGCTGGGAAGACTGAATCTGCAATAGGTAAGCAGCTTGGTGTGAAGAAATCAACTGTGGGAGCAATTATTAGAAAATAGAAGACATACAAGACCACTGATAATCTCCCTCGATCTGGGGCTCCACGCAAGATCTCACCCCGTGGGATCAAAATGATCACAAGAACGGTGAGCAAAAATCCCAGAACCACACGGGGGGACCTAGTCAATGACCTGCAGAGAGCTGGGACCAAAGTAACAAAGGCTACCATCAGTAACACACTACGCTGCCAGGGACTCAAATCCTGCAGTGCCAGACGTGTCCCCCTGCTTAAGCCAGTACATGTCCAGGCCCGTCTGAAGTTTGCTAGAGAGCATTTAGATGATCCAGAAGAGGATTGGGAGAATGTCAAATGGTCAGATGAAACCAAAATAGAACTCTTTGGTAAAAACTCAACTAGACGTGTTTGGAGGAGAAAGAATGCTGAGTTGCATCCAAAGAACACCATACCTACTGTGAAACATGGGGGTGGAAACATCATGCTTTGGGGCTGTTTTTCTGCAAAGGGACCAGGACGACTGATCCGTGTAAAGGAAAGAATGAATGGGGCCATGTATCGTGAGATTTTGAGTGACAACCTCCTTCCATCAGCAAGGGCATTGAAGATGAAACGTGGCTGGGTCTTTCAGCATGACAATGATCCCAAACACAACGCCCGGGCAACGAAGGAGTGGCTTCGTAAGAAGCATTTCAAGGTCCTGGAGTGGCCTAGCCAGTCTCCAGATCTCAACCCCATAGAAAATCTTTGGAGGGAGTTGAAAGTCCGTGTTGCCCAGCGACAGCCCCAAAACATCACTGCTCTAGAGGAGATCTGCATGGAGGAATGGGCCAAAATACCAGCAACAGTGTGTGAAAACCTTGTGAAGACTTACAGAAAACGTTTGACCTCTGTCATTGCCAACAAAGGGTATATAACAAAGTATTGAGATGAACTTTTGTTATTGACCAAATACTTATTTTCCACCATAATTTGCAAATAAATTCAGACAATGTGATTTTCTGGATTTTTTTTTCTTCTCATTTGTCTCTCATAGTTGAGGTATACCTAGGATGAAAATTACAGGCCTCTCACATATTTTTAAGTGGGAGAACTTGCACAATTGGTGGCTGACTAAATACTTTTTTGCCCCACTGTATATAAAATGTCTAACTGACATCTGTGTCTCCAGAAATTATTTTGGCCACTAGGTGGCGATAATGATAAAGAAATATAAATTGAGTAGCTTTCCACAGAAGCACAAAAGAGAACAGTAAGAGAAAAGTAGGCCTACTACAAAACTCAAGAATCCGAAGTATAAAATATAAACATTAACAATAAAAAAATAATATATATATCTATAAAATATTCAGGAAATGTATAATAATAATCATCATCATAATCAAAGTAATAATCATAATGATGTTTTTTAAACATTTATTCAACTTATTTTAGCCACCAGGAGGCGATCATGATAAATAAAAAGTAAAGAAAATAGGAGTTTGGTGGTTTTCCACGAGGTCAAATTGAAGATACTTTGTCATGGAAAGGAAAGACGACCTTTGTTGCCTTTATGTTTGTATAAAACTCTGGAGTGTCCGTAAATAATTCTTAACTCATGCTTAAACTCACACACGATTTCCGAAACCCGGAAGTCTGATTTAATAATGGGTACGTGAAGGCAGCATGAGCGATAGAGGGGGGAGAGGAGAGAAAGGCGCGTGCGCGGACAGCGACGCAGCAACCCTGCCTTTCATTACCGCTGACGTCCATCTCCCTCCCTCTTTCTCTCACACTGGGTTTTTCGGGAGGCGAAGGGGGGGTTCCGTTTTCTATGGTCTTCGCTCAAAAACACATATTTCCGGGGATACATATATGCGTGTTCAGCTGCTCAACCGCGCGACTTTGAATTCACCGCTGAAGCAGTTGGAGCCAAACCGAATGAGAGGTGCTAAGGGCGGACTGAGCTGAGAAGAAGAGCCAGAGACTAACTGGAAGGCTTCACATCCGCCGCTTTCTTTCAGGTCAACCGCAATCGGTTTCCCCAGGCTCCGTACATCTCCTGCTTCTCGAAATGTGTTCTCAGACGGTTCCTGCTTCTGTTTCCGTGACTATTCCTCCATGGGAGCCGCCGTTTTGACGTTTGTCACCCAGAAACATATTCACTAGCCAACAGGAAAACAGAAACTCCCCCTTTTTTTCTCAACTCAACCCGCGGTGGTCGCACAGAGCCCACTGTTGTTTCTCTTCTTTTTTTAAAACCCTCATCAGTTGCATCGATGGTCGAGTTGTATTCGCCTTTCACAACAACATCGATGCAGCTGGAAGTAAACCGATTACCACCGGGATTGTTTTATTAACGAGCCAGCCAGTGTCCACCGAAATGGTCCGATAACGCCTGGGAAGGTTGGGGGAAAGTGTGAAGCTAAGAGGGGGTTCAGTCTGGGCTGTGATTTCTTCAGATGAGGCTAGCTTGGTACCAACCACAACACACAGTCATGAGGTGGATGTAGATTTGTTCACTGTCTTGGTGATCTTTGCTGCCTTCACGGACTATGACAATGAGGATTGTATGAGGCTGTTTTCTTCTGGAGTGACTGACAACCAGGATAATCTGGGGTGTGTTTTTAACCCAGTGTGAACACAATCCTACTGCCCACGTATTTATTTTCTCTTGGACGAAGAGGCGCACTCAGGGACGAACATGTCTTTACGCACGGCACTGCCTGGGAAAGATCGGAACCCGGACCATGTAAGTAGATCATAAAAAACACAGAGCGTCTATTTGTCACCGTCAGTAGCAGGGACAGGTAATTATCAGGTGTTACCGTGCTTTTGAAGACAATTATTGTAATAACTCCCTCTAACCCCCGGCCCTGAGATTAGTCTAGCATGTGCAGAGAGCAGCTGCAATAAAGAGAGGCGACACAGACGCGCTAATCTCCCCTAGCTCATTTGGGACGGGTTGCAATTGGACACACATGATGGGGATGGAGAACATGTGATCACACACAAAATGCACATGTTAAATTAGTTGGTAGCCTTAAATAAATCTGATTGTCACCTTATCCACCGGTGTCCTCAGTGCGCATGTTTTTCTTCCACCAGCTGATCAATAATTGATTCATTTGATGCAAGGCCACCCAGCTCTCTCCCCAGCCACCCACCCACCCAGCATGCCCTGCACCCACCCCTCCTCTTCTCTGACTTCCTCTCTCCACCCTGTCTGGTCTGTGCGTGTCTTCTTTAATGAAGCTGTCTGAAAGGCAGCAGTGGGTAGCACAATATTGCAAAATGTGCTGTGTCAGGCTTGCCTGCATTGTGGTGTTCTTCTGTCTGTGGCAGTGTCTGGGTTTTGGGAAGGCAGGACTTTGAGGGGGAAAGCTTTTTGTATCATTTCTCAGGATGTATTTTCTCAGGATTTCTTGTAAACATGTACGCTTCTCTTTAATATCCCCTCACCACATTTTGACATCAGTAGTGCAGCCACACACAGAACCCCCCCACCTTTCATCTCAAGGGCACCTAGCTTACACCAACGAACAGCAGCCTGAATATCACTCACTCCTTTAGGGTTGAAAGCCTTCACAAATAGCTACTTCTGTTGTAGCTAACAATAAAAGTGTATACAAAGGATATGAGCACTATCCGATTTTTAAATAATGTTAGGGTATTGTACCGGTGTCTTATGTGTCGTCAATGACCGGCATCAGTAGTGCTGATTCACAGTTAGCTGGTTTCCACATTGACATTTTTGACCAGACACAAGTACTTTGGATTTACAGCATATTTTGGGTGGGACAATCAAACCGAAACACTGATATAGATTGAATATCATTTCCTGTCCTGGCTGCAGGCTGTAATGTAATCTTTCTAAATGGAAACCATACGCAAAGATTAAGCATTTACTGTCATTTTGAGCCCGG